CTGAACATACTCAGTCCTCAGTTGCTTCACTTTCATAATCTAAACGTGTAATATTGTTAATCATGTTTTCATAAAAACTGCATATTGAGTAATGCAACAGTTACTTAGCATTTTGAGCAGTTGTATCAATTGATAGATCATTGTAATGAAATGAATAGATACTCAACTCGGATGTAATGTGTGCGTTGCATTCTGAAATCGCAATACTTTGATGTGGTGTCATTTTGAACTGGGGATTTTAGTTCAATGAATAAAAGATCTATGTGTATTGTATCCAAGCATTTGGTAACTTAATCCACTAACACTAATGGCTATTGACATGTAGTTGCAAGGTTACCTATAGTTAGTGAACTACAGTGAATCAGGTCCATTGTTTCTAGCTGAGAAGAGCAAGAACTTTTTATTATTACTTGACTGGCTTGAACCAACTAGTAATACTAGAAAGTTTTGAACTAATGTTCGAGACTGAATTACATCCAGCAGCGCTTCACTCCAGAGCGACTGCAGAGGGCTGGCCAATCAGAGAGCAGGGCCTCTCACAGGCCACGCCCCCATCAGCCACCTCCTCTCTCTCCGAGGCCCGGTCTCCTCCCTCAGGATCAGGCTGTATCGCATTCGCCCCGCGCTCCTCTTCCTCCCTCCATCCGCCTGCTTCCGCTTCTGTGCTAATCACTCTGTGCAGCGTCTTCCTGAACACTTCCAGTGGCGCTCGCTCCTTATCTCTAGCTCTATTACAGAAGAGATGTCTTCGGTCTCCCTCGTCTGGTGCTGCTCGTCTCTGGAGATGAAGAGGACGCTCCGGAACACGGCTTGAGCGTCTTTGATCTGCTCTAGAGGTAAAAAGCTCACGCACTCACCCTCATCCAATATCTGGATGTTCAGAAGATGTGGAGGTAACCGACCGCGCAGCTGCAGAGCCAGGGATTGTGGGTCAGGTAAACGTAAGGCAGCTCGGGTTTGGACGAGAAGAAGCGGTCGGGCATCAAGTCGAAGGTCTTCAGGCCGCCGGAGGAGACGTGCTCCAGGAGGCGCGGAGGCAGCGCGGGAAGCTTGTTCTCAGACAGGCTAATGACCTCCAGACGCGGCAGCTCGCTGAAGGTGCCGTCGTGAAGGGAACGAATCTGGTTCTTGTGTAAGTAGATCTCAATCAGACCGGGAGCGCAGCGGAACAAACCAGTTAACCTGTTACCAGACAAACGCAAGACGCTCAGCTTCTCCAGCACTGGACCTGAAAGAAACACAGAGTTTGAGACTCTCATCACATCAGAATGAAAGTTTTGTGCCTTTTAATTCATGTCTGTAAACAAGCACTTGACTAAATCTACAACCATAAAAAGGCTTAATATAATAGAAAATAATAATGTT